ACTATCTGTTACAGTGGCACCTGTCAGTGTGTGGGGTATATTAGGCAGCAAGTGAACATTCAGTCCTCAAAGTTGATGTGTTGGAAGCAGGAAAAATGGGTAAGTGAAAAGATCTGAGTGACTTTGACAAGGGCCAAACTCTGATGGTAAGATCACTGGGTCAGAGCATCTCCCACACTACAGTTCTTGGTGGGTGTTCCCAGTCTGCAGTGGTTAGTACCTACCAACAGTGTCTAAGAAAAGACAAATGGTGAACTGGCGACGGGGTCATGAACGCCCATGGCTCACTGATGATGAGCTTGACCTACTGTAGATTAAACTTTTCACTTCTATTTGCACTTTTCAAAAGATTAAAATTTATTTGAATCTTTGTTAAAATGGTTGAAAATGAACACTAGGCCTATCTAGTTAAAGAATCTGAGCTCCTCCACTACTGAAAATAAGTGCCTGTGTTACCACAACTTTCAAAATCAAAGTGTGTCAGTGTGTAAGTATGCCTCCATTTCATAACTGCTTCTAAATAAAGTTGAAAATAAATTTCACCAAATTCAAATATTTTGAAGACTCAGAGCAAACACTTAGTTTATATGTAATCCAGGGATATAAATCACATCTTTGTATTTACTGGGACCCAAAATGTGAAAGATTTAGGTTAATGAAATTGGTTATGTTCCTACCTTTTCATGATTAGGTAAAGTCTGAGTCCTGGTAAACGTGTCTCCTCCGTTAATACTGATCAGCTCCGCGTCTACAGGTGGAAACGCTGCGGGGAAAACCACTACGTCACTCTTGAGCGTGTCTGAGCTGAAGCAGACGTCATACTGCTGAGTAGATTTAGAGTAAGACCAGCTCCCGTCAGGGTGGGTGGTGATCATGGGGGCGCTGTACCTGCTGAAACTGCCGTCTGTCCTGTGGCATTTGACAGCTATTAAACTGATGAGGCTCAGTAGGAAGATGACTGACACCGACACGATGGCAATCAGCAGGTACAGGTTTAGATCCGAGAAGCTGTCCTCCTTTATGGGTACATGTCTGAACTGAGTCTGGATGTCAGCTGAGCTTTCAACCACCGTGACATCAATAGACACAGTAGCTGACAGGGAGGGTTCTCCGTTATCAGAGACCAGCACCACCAAGGGGTGAGTTTTCAGGTCGTTGTCACTCATCCTCCTCTTAGTCCTGATTTCCCCGGTGCTGGTTCCGATCCGGAAGAGGTTGTTTCCTTTGGGCTCAGAGAGGTGATAAGAAAGCAGCGCATTGTATCCCGAGTCAGCGTCTACAGCCCTGATCTTTGCCACAAAGTATCCCGCTTCAGCAGAATAGGGGATGCTCTCAGTGTTAACGGAGCCGTGCTCAGAATAGGGCGCGAGAATCGAGGGACTGTTGTCATTGTCATCCAGGATGAAAACGTTGACAGTCACGTTGGTGCTGAGCGGAGGAACACCAGAGTCTGTGGCCTGGACTTTAAACTGAAAGGTTTTCATCTGCTCATAGTTAAAAGACTGCAGGCTGACTATGTCTCCTGTCTCTGAGTTGATGTTAATCATTGTGGTAAGTGGCAGTGGTTTGTCATTATTGTCTAAAAGGGAATAGCTCACCTGACCATTGTTGCTGATGTCAGCATCGATTGCAGTCACAGTTTTGATAACTGTGCCTACTTTGCTGTTTTCTTTTACATATACATTAATCACAGGCTCTTGGAAATATGGCGCATTGTCATTAACATCAGAAACATAAATAGTAAGAACAGTTGTGTTCGAAAGAGGAGGACTCCCTTCATCAGTAGCTGATATTGTCACATTGTACTGCTGAGTTTCTTCTCTGTCTAGATGTCCATCAACCACAAGAGAAAAGTAGTTTTTGTAATTAGTCTCCAATTTGAACGGAACCGTGTTTAAAATCTCACATTTCACTTCACCATTTTTGCCACTGTCTCTGTCTAGGACAGAAACAAGTGCAATAGCAGTACCTTGACCCGCGTCCTCATTTACTTTATTGAGCAGTGACGTCACAGTGATTTCAGGAGCGTTGTCGTTTACATCTATTATTTCTACCAGCACTTTACTATGAGCAGACATAGGAGGCTGGCCTTTGTCCCTGGCTTCTGCCCGGATCTCGAAAGCCTTTCTTTCCTCATAGTCTATTTTGCCTTTAACTGTAATGACCCCTGTGTCAGGGTCAATTTTGAAAATATCCAGTATATGGTCCTGATCCTTACTGCGAAGAGAATATACTATTTCACTATTTGTGCCTTCATCAGCATCGGTGGCATTTAAAGTGAAGATTGCAGCGCCAATCGGGGTATTTTCAAACGTTTTAACTTTATAAAGAGTACTGCTGAACAATGGTGCGTTATCATTATTATCAAGTACATTGATGTGTATTTCTGACGTTCCTGAATTTGGTTGAGATCCGCCGTCTACCGCAGTTAACAGGAGCTGTATACTTGGCTGTTTCTCCCGGTCTAGAGCTTTCTGCAGCACTAACTCCGGTGATACACTCTCTCCTCTCTTGTGTGTCGCAAGACTGAAATATTCGTTTGGACTCAGCCTATAGGCACTAACAGCATTTTTACCCACGTCGGCATCACTTGCCTCCGATAAAGAGAATCTAAATCCAGGCAAGGTGTTCTCTGCGATGTCCAGTGCTTGTGATTTTGTGTTAAACGACGGGGAATGGTCATTCACATCTCTTATTTCTATCTCTACGCGGTAAAGCTTTAATGGGTTGTTTATGACAGCCTCTACGCTAACAGTGCATTTGGGCTCATCCGTACAAAGCTCCTCGCGGTCTATCCTCTCATTGACATATAGAAATCCATTCTTTAGATTTACCTCGAAGTATTTCCTCTTAGATCCTGTAACAATCTGAAACGAACGGGACTCCAAATCCTGCACGTTGAGGTTTAAATCTCTGGCGATGTTTCCAACATTAGTTCCCGGGGTTACCTCCTCTGAAACGGAGTAGGAGAGCTGCCCAGACACCGCTTCCCAGTAAAAATCCAACAGCACCAGCGCCAGATATGTAAGAATAGACGACCTGCTACTCGATAAAGGCATAGTTCTGCCGAGAAAGCAAATATCCACAGTGGTGTTTCTACAGCAGAATGACCAGTTGTGCCAAAATTTTAAGCATCACTATTTCGTTTTTCATCAAGACAGTTACTCCATTATGTCGTCCCTCGGTCTCCCGTTTCTCTTTGTGATGAAAATTCAGAGTCATTCCGGTTTTGCTCTGGGAGGAGCCTTAACATTTCTGTCTTACGGTCTACAGCGTCGCTGTGTGGTAATTTTGAGAAAATGCACGTGTTATAAACAAATGTAAAACACCCCTCCTCATTCAACGGTGGCATCAACCTTGTTGCAAACAGCTCTGTTAATTAATGCGAGGTTTTTGACACATTAACAGTCTTGACATTTGAAACTACGGTGATCCTTCCATTTTAGTAGCACTACGAGCAGAATGCGGATTTAACACAGTGTAGTGAAGCATGAGCTATAATGTTGCATTATTAAATTATCAATAAGAACAATACTTGGTTATTCCACCTCGGCACTGAAGCTACACGGCTGATAGAACCGAAACACAGTGTTTCTAAACTTGCAATTAAGCAATTGATATTTAACTAAGTAACAGGAAAAATATTTTCTTCCTGTGTTTATGTGGTATTTTGCATTATATTAGAAAGGAATCGAAATACTCAAGTTTGAGAAGGAAACATGGACGCTGAAGATTTCCATTTTTGTACGTGAGGTATAAGGATAAAATTTTAAATGAAGGAATACATGATGAAGTCTGTTTTCAGTGACACACAGAGCTTAGATATAGGCAGGTCAAACAAACACTGATTTTGCTAATTTTGAGTGAATAGTCATAGGCTGGATTTACTTACAGCACACTGGAATTTTTTTAAATCAGGGAAATCCTGCAAAGGTCTACATTTACCTACAAATTACGAGTTTCGGTTAATATTCTGTTGACATAAAATATATAAGTGCTTGCAAATATACTGCATAACTGAACATCTTAACGTGTCTGTAAAGAAACCTGTGCTCAGTACCACGGACAGCGGCTGAGTTAGCAACCAGTAGAGGAGATGTAGTGACAGAATGAGCACAGAGAGCCAGTCTCAGTGTGTAAGATAACAACATCAGTATCGTTTATTTTGACTCACACTTATATTCTACAATGAACGATTGTTGCTGAAGTGCCACGAATCTCTTGATTAGTATAAGTATAATTTCACTGTCAATTACCAGGACGCAATAAGGCGAAAAATGAGACATAATTAATGCAGCTGCCGCGTCTACAGGCGGAAACGGTGCGGGGAAAACCACTACGTCACTCTTGAGCGTGTCTGAGCTGAAGCAGACGTCATACTGCTGAGTAGATTTAGAGTAAGACCAGCTCCCGTCAGGGTGGGTGGTGATCATGGGGGCGCTGTACCTGCTGAAACTGCCGTCTGTCCTGTGACATTTCACAGCTATTAAACTGATGAGGCTCAGTAGGAAGATGACTGACACCGACACGATGGCAATCAGCAGGTACAGGTTTAGATCCGAGAAGCTGTCCTCCTTTATGGGTACATGTCTGAACTGAGTCTGGATGTCAGCTGAGCTTTCAACCACCGTGACATCAATAGACACAGTAGCTGACAGGGAGGGTTCTCCGTTATCAGAGACCAGCACCACCAAGGGGTGAGTTTTCAGGTCGTTGTCACTCATCCTCCTCTTAGTCCTGATTTCCCCGGTGCTGGTTCCGATCCGGAAGAGGTTGTTTCCTTTGGGCTCAGAGAGGTGATAAGAAAGCAGCGCATTGTATCCCGAGTCAGCGTCTACAGCCCTGATCTTTGCCACAAAGTATCCCGCTTCAGCAGAATAGGGGATGCTCTCAGTGTTAACGGAGCCGTGCTCAGAATAGGGCGCGAGAATCGAGGGACTGTTGTCATTGTCATCCAGGATGAAAACGTTGACAGTCACGTTGGTGCTGAGCGGAGGAACACCAGAGTCTGTGGCCTGGACTTTAAACTGAAAGGTTTTCATCTGCTCATAGTTAAAAGACTGCAGGCTGACTATGTCTCCTGTCTCTGAGTTGATGTTAATCATTGTAGATAGTGGAACTAGGTTATTATCACTGACCAATGAATAGCTCACTCGACCATTTTCACTAACGTCAGCATCAGTTGCAGCAACTGTTTTCAAAACCATCCCAACTGGACGGTTTTCTTCCACATACATAGTAATTACGGTCTCTGAAAACCGAGGGGCGTTGTCATTTACATCGGAAACGTGAACTGTAACCACAGCAGTGTTGGAGAGAGGTGGCTTCCCTTCATCTCTGGCTTTGATAGTGATGTTGTAGTGTGAAATGAGCTCCCTGTCTAAATCTCCAGCAGTTACTAAAGAATAATAATGTTTATAATTTGTCTCCAGTTTAAAAGGAACTGAATCTAATATCTCACATTTCACTTCACCGTTTTTGCCTCCATCGCTGTCAACAACTGAAACAAGTGCAATAGCAGTACCGATGTCAGCGTCCTCCTTCACTGTACTGAGCAGTGACGTCACCGTGATGTCAGGGGCGTTGTCATTCAGGTCCACCACCTCCACCAGTACTTTACACTGCGCTGTTAATGGAGGCTGGCCTTTGTCTGCAGCCTGCACACGAATTTCAAAGGCAGGGTTTGTTTCAAAGTCAATTTTGCCCTTTACTGTTATTATTCCTGTTTCTGAGCCTATTTCAAAAATGTCTAAAACGTGGTCCTGATCTTTCGAATTTAATAAATATATAATGTCTTTGTTTGTCCCCTCGTCAGCATCAATTGCAGTCACTGCTAGTATTGTAGTTCCAAGTGGTGCATTCTCCGTAATACTTGTTTTATACAGTGTTTTTGTAAAGGTCGGGATATTATCGTTTGTATCCAAAACATTTATTATGATCTCTGATGTGCCTGATTTCGGAGGTGTCCCTCCGTCTACAGCAGTCAGTGTGAGCGATATCAAAGCTTGCTTTTCTCGATCTAATGACTTCTGAAGAACTAACTCTGCTGACACACTCTCTCCTCTGTGCACCTCTAAAGAAAAGTGATTTAGCTTGTACGTGTTAGTGCTGGTTTTCCCGACGTCGGCGTCGTAGGCCGAGAGCACAGGGAATGTAGCTCCCGGCAGTATGCTCTCTGCTATGTCGATAGATTGTGATGCGGCACTGAAAGAGGGTGGATTATCATTTACGTCGAGGATATTAACTTGAACACGGTAAAGTTTCAGTGGATTACTAATCACAGCCTCTACATTTACTGTACATTTTGAAGCTTTGGCACAGAGCTCCTCTCTGTCTATTCTGTCACTGACGTAGAGAAACCCTGACTTCAAATTTACATCGAAATACTTCTTCTTTGATCCAGTAACAATCTGAAACATACGTGACTCCAAATCATGTACAATAAGCTGTAGATCCTTGGCGAGATTTCCAACAGAAGTCCCCAGCTTCACCTCCTCTGAGACGGAGTAGGAGAGCTGCGCGAATACGGCTGTACAGTTGTACTCCAAGACAACGAGGACTAGATATATTCCAGCAGAGGACTTTGTCCCCGGAAGATGCATAATTCCATAGGAGAACAAAGCATAGATCCGTGAATCGAAGTGTTTCTCGCTTTTTAAGGCCAAAACATCGTTTTAGTGACCAATTCACGTGTCAGTATTTTTTCTATATCCATTCCCCTCCTCCCTGCTTCTCATTCTAACAAAGCACCGACAAAAGTGATGATGCTTTTAATGTGGGAGGGGCCTGTGCACATCAGCCTCCTGCTGGTGGAGTTACGGTCTACAGTGTCATCTCATGGCCATTTAAAACAACTACAGTGCTTTAAGTTAATCACAGAATAATGCTGATTTCTATTAGAAATGACCAAAATGTAAATAATTCCCATAAGTGATGAAGGTCATAATCTACAGTTTCCTAATTACTCACTGCATAACCATTCCTGTAGAAAGCAGCAGTGTATTCGCCACATATTTGGGAACTTGAGAAAGAGCACCATTGTGCATTGGTGCATTCAAAGCACACAAGTCAGCAAACACACAAATCATCTGAACCACATTGCTTCTCTTTTTTAGAAACTGCATCGGAACGTAAATCCATCACCAGAACAGCGCATGATCAGCGGCTGCGCAACGTTATTACTCTTCAGTAATTTATTTGAAAATTGGTGTTTAAATGAATGTTTTAAAACCAATTTGTACAATACACGGTGAAATATAAAACACTATCTGTATCTCTGTTGTTTGTACACAAAATCCAAATAATTGAAATAAGGTTTGAGGCTGAGTCATTATTGAAGTTAATAACATAAAGCCTATACATCTGTTATCAACACATAAAAATGGCTACAAACATAAATTCATAATCCCGAAATCATTCCATAAACATAGTGAACCAGTGCACACCACCGGCACACTGGCAAACATCTTTTTCAGCAAAAAGAAGCGACATTAGGATGGGATAGATGGATGCCTTTCCAAAAATTATTAAATCCGAGACAACACACATATGTGAAAATTTACATAAAACTGTACAGTTTTGTATTGTTATGGTGTATCAGAGCGTTTCCCCCCTTTATTCATGGACGTGTTTCTACTAAAACGTCCAAAAGTCGCGTTCAGCACCATAGACAGCGGCACTGACTCTGAAGATGCAAAATAAGCAACTAAAATATTCTGCAATTGATGTTCTTAAGTAGAAATTGAATCAGTTCCGCCCCACTCCCACGTTTTAAATGTCAGATTCAACAAGTTGTCACTTTACTCTTAATCTACGTGACAAAACGCCCAATGCTACCAATAAAAACTATGTTGCATTGCATGATTTCATGGCACAGTGCGATGATTCGCATCAGTACTTTACTTTGTTAAAATCTGATTCCCGATGAAAACTTAACTGTTTAAACTGCCAAAGTAACGGACGCAAATATTGAATCCACAGAAATAGTTTGGCAGCAATTTAGGCCTTTTTTGGCAATTTGTAGTGTTCAAAATTGAATATGTTTAAAAATACTCACATTTATCAAATACTAAACGTTTACAAGGTTTTTATTTCACCTTTATATCCTACTGATTAAAAGTCACAGACATTCAGACACTGGCAACCAGCACCACAGACAGTGACCCTCACAATACAATAATAAACAGGCAGTCAACAATGAGCCAGGAATCAGTCGACAGTTACACATCGAGCAATAGCTGGATATTTTAAGATAATATCAGGCTTCACGTAAACTATCGTTTGGAGTTGAACTTAATTTGTATTGAAACTTATTTTTTTAAAAGACACGTGGAACCAGGTTGTTTAAAAAAGGAAATAAAACCGTTGGATTTTGCTTATAATTCTCAC